AATCCATTTGTGGGAAATTTATATAAAAAGGCATTTCCATTGAATTTGCTAATAATTTAAACCAGTACAAAGTTGTATTTTTCATCAGTTAGACCATGTCTTAAACTTACATTTTTTGACATCACACACGGGTTGACTACCCGTCCATTTGCCATCTTTACAGATACGGCTGACCTGTCCAATGACTTTCATGTTTGTGCCATTATTTGTGTGATTAATACACGAATAAATGGCCAAATCGTCGGGAACTGCATATTGAGTGCCATTCACATCATAGAAATGCTTGTACTGGACATATAGGTTGGGATCTTCCCTATCAAGGGCTGGTATTTTGCAGAACTTATTGGGTTTACATAAAGGAAAGTCGTTAAGCCATATGCCCTCTGGACTGCACCTAACCTTCTGGTCTCCGTTCAAATGAAAGCCTTCTCTACACGTGAAGACAGTGTATGAGAAGAGAGCTCGGTTGTCTTGTCTCAAATCCCCGAAAAGCCCTCTTGGCGTGCTTAGCGAGTTATGTATCTCAAACTCCAGTGTCTTTCACCAGCAATACAATTTCTACAGGTAGTGAAGTCGACACACCACAATCTTCTCAATGGACTCATCGATGCCCTCGTGAGCGGCGATCAACTGCTCCGTCTTATCGCATATGAAACCAATTTTGTAAGTAATCGAGTCATTGAGAAGTAGGAAGCGCTCCATTTGGCACTTCTTGGAGCTGATCACGTCCTCCATAGTGGCACTCAACTGAAGTTTATTATCGTTACTGTATTCCAATAGAAAGCCTCCTCTCATGAAAAGTGTGAAGTAATTGAAATAAAATCCTCTAATGATATGAAAAGTCCAACTCTGGCTCCCATTGATATTCCACAAGAACTTGGTTTTTGGACATTCCGTGTATTTGATGTTATTGTTGACTATAAACCGGTGAGCAGAGCCAAAGGTAACGTAGAGAGACATGTTGCTGACTACAGAAGGGTTAAGACACTAGAGATAAGCGAAGTCATTTTGCGAAAGATAGAGAAACCGATATTCAAATACGTTTGTTTTATCAAATTATTGCTACAAAACTAAATATTCATTAATTATAAGTTGTTACTGACTGGCGTAGCCCCTTCCCTAGGTAAGGTAGCCACCAATTGTGTGACAGACACGAAAGGAAGCTACTCAAGTGACAACCCTAGAAGCGTAAGTATCGATTAATGACACAAAAGAAGCATACGACTCTTAAATAGACTTAATTTCGTTAAGTCGGGAATCGCTGGTAACCCGCAGTCGCCTTTGATCTCATGTATTGATACAATTATCAATACTTTGGATATTAATTGATTTACTCTCATATCTGATTGCAATTAATTGTTTCGATTGTGAATCCATTTAATACCTAAGTATTAAGCGATTAACACATTCATTGATGTCATAACCGGGATGTTTAGCTTTAATTCCTGTATTTTCAACTAAATATTCAATGTTTTTATAGTTAATATAAACTTTTGGTAAAAAATAATAAATAAAATTTTAAATAATTTATTGCATAAGCAATACTAAATAATTATTGTTTATTATTAATTAGATTAAAATTCTTTATTTTTAAAATAAACTAATTATAAGTTATAACTTAATTATATTTTATAAAAATAAGCAATATATTTTTAAAATTTTTATTCTGTTTTTAGATGAATTAATTGTATTTTACTAGTATTACTGAATATATTGATATTTATACAATATAAAAATAATTTTTAAAAGTTTATCCTATGACTTAAGAACTAAACAAAAACTATTTGTTTATCATATATATATACAGTATATTGTACTCATTCAAGGAACGGTAGCACTTAAGAACTCTAACATTATTAGATAAAACTTATAGATAAGCTAATTTATATTGAAATGATTTAGGTGTGATTTAAAAAGTGAATGATCACTCTGAGATTTTTAAACCCATTCAAAGTGTAGAGTAATATAAACTATTTGAAATTAAATGTTAAATTAATTTATAATCGTTATAATCTTATAAAAAATTAAATTTATAATATGAAATGCTTGAGCAACTGATAAAACCTGCCCTTTATATTCAATCAAGATAACTGTGCCATCAGTGCAAAGTGTACTCAAATAGATTATTGACTGCATATAAATACAATAACATTTCTAATATTTTCTAATAATTAACAATAATTGTTACGAAAAATAATGACTGAAATATTCAGAGGACAGACACCCGAAGACATCGACAATAAATGTCTTACCATTTGTGCCAAATATTTAGAGGGCGTTTGGAAGACAATTACCATCAATGGGTTGGATATCAACCGAATTAGCGGCGGATTTACGAATCAATTATTTCATTGCCGTCTAAAAGACAACATTCAAGTGAATGGTAACGAACCAAAGGATGTATTCATACGATTATATGGCCCCAAATGGGTTAAGTCAAGTGAGCCAGGTAGCGAACGATTACTAGATGCCATAATCAACGTATTGGCCTCGGAGTACAATTTGGGACCAAAAGTGTACGGAATTTTCGATGAAGGGATTCTTGGAGAATATATTCATGTATTCATTGTCTTTATTATATAATATTATTTCTTATTTATTTACAATTTATTTATAGTAATATTATCTATAATTTATTTATATTCACCACAAAAAGGGTCATCACATGAGTATTGAAGACCAAAAGAATCCAATTCTGGTCAAAGAATTTGCCCAAAAATTAGCAAAATTTCATTCATTGAATGTTCCGACGGCTCGAGACCTCAATCGTTACAAAAAGATATTTTACGACTTCTATGACGGCATCTATAAAAGGACACCAAATTTGGATCAAATATTCAAAGAGATTAACGCAAAGAATTTTCTTGAGTGTGATATCAAAGAGGAGAACCAATGGCTCCATAAATGCATTGAAGCCATAAAGTCTCCGATAGTGTACTCACACAACGATATATTCACCGGAAATATATTAGTGAACAATAAAATAGACGATAAAAGTGCTAATAATGTAATTCTCATCGATTTTGAGTATTCCGGACACTTCTATCGGGGCTCCGATTTAGGCTTCTTTGTCAATGAGTTCGGCCGATCCAGCAATTGGTTGGACAGACAGGATGTGCCACTCGCTCATGACATATGGATTCAAATGTTTTTAACACATTATTTGAATGAATCCATTGAAATACACGGAAAGGAGTTCGCGGATAGAGTCGAGAATTCAATGCAATACTTATTAAGAGAAACGAAATTGTTTTCATTAATCGCCGAAATGTTTATCATTTTCTTTATGCTATACACTAATGAGTCGCCCGATTGTACTGATCGACGAGAATATTTGGTTTGTATTTTATGTGTATTTTCTTAATTTTAAAATAATTTTATATCTTTTCAGAAAAAGTTGGATGTCTTTTACGGCCGATATATTAAACGCCGGCAACAGTTTGAAAAGGAGGGTATCGTTCCCCTCTCCAGGCATTAACTTCTATCTTATCTTATAATTCATGACATAATTTACTATAATTATTTGACAACTTATTTTTATCCAAGCAGAATTAGTTTTTAAAATATTGAGATTATATTTACAGTATTTCAATTAAAAGAGTTTCATTAATATTTGTAATAAACTTACAAATATCCTTGTTTTATTTTTTATTACATTAAAATTTTAATATTATTCCTATAAACATTACAAATAACTTGATTATTCTATATTAATATAAGCGTATCTGTCAGGTCTGACAATAACTCAAAACAAAAATAATAAAATTATATTTTTGTTATTAATTTATAAACTATTATAATCGACACAAATGTCTTAAATTAAAATCAATTATAAGTGAACTCTATTTCGTGTAATTTACTCAGCATTTCATAAATCAAAAGATATTTATTTTGTTTTAATAAATATTTCTAAAATAAGTCTTTATATATTTTATTTTTTAAATATATTGTTTATTATTACTATTTATGAAAATAGATTTATGAAATAACAGGTTCTCAAATCAATTCAAACAATTTATTCATACAATCTCAATATAAAACTTTTAATATTTTATACAAAATACACGAAATACAATGAGTATATTTAAATTAAATCATTGTTTTCATTGTAAAAATATGTGTTGAATAAGGCATGATTTGAATGACTCATATAAAATTAAAAACATATATGAATGGCACCAGACTTTGGCGTTGAAAACAATACCCCAAAGAAATTCATAAATCATTTAATTATAACTTATTTAAAACTTTCTGATATCATTGTATTTATTATACAGAATATAGACTTAAATATAAACGTGAAACAAAAGGCAGACAATTATGAAAATAGGAAAGTATTATATTATGTGTTATTTTAGGAGATTTGAAATAAATGGATGTTTTATTCAAATTAGGTTTTATATGAGGTATTTACAAGTAAACTGTACTTTATAACAGTTAAACTATACATTTGTTATTAGTACACATCATAACAGGTGTAATCAAATTCTCGACGCGTATTAGGGGAATGGATTGTAGGGGACGGGTAGATGAGAGAGAATCCTACGTTCAAAGACCCTATTATCGTATTGAAGCAACAATTTTAAAGTTTGAATGTTCGGGTTCATTGAGCATACAATGCTAAGTACTGTATATGATTGTTATGTAACCCTTTGCCATCACACCTGATATTCGTACATAATATTGATCAAGTTAAAAACTCATTGATTTTCAGATAATATAGCAATTATAGATTTTCTCAAACATTCATTAAATGTGGAAATTGATTTCATTGTGAATACCATTATATATATATTTTTTACATACAAATCAACAACAAAAATATCTAACTTGTAAGTGACTGTCGTATGTCATAAAGAATTTATACATTTTATTAAATAAATTCTAAAACCAATTATAATTTTATGGCATATATTAGATAATTTATGTGGCATTAATTTGTTGAACTTAAATATCTGTTTATTTTTAGTGAATTGTTTATATATATATAATTATGCTATTATTACATTGTATAAATCCTATTATTGAAGTTTCTAAAATAGCATTTGAATGACACTTTTATTATAAACAAAATTCTTCAAATAATTTTATACACAAATATTTTCATATGTGGTAATCATAATTTTAATATAATGTATTCTACACCACAGTTTTTAATACATACACCAGATTTAAAACAAACATTGAAATAAAAACAATAAAACATACTGGTACAATAATATTTAGAAAAATTATTACTCTATCCTCAACAAATATAACTGAATTCTAGAAAATATTTTAAAATTTAAACAGAAATTAAAAAAGGTTTTATAAAATAAAAGTAAAATAAAAATAATACTCAAATTATAAGTAGGGATTCATAATAGAAATTCATTCACTTTTTATATCAGAGGACTGGACACTATCACCGCTCATATAGATATCGATATCTAAGTCGAGCTCCAGTTTGGCAGTACTTTTGGACTTCCAACTCATATCTGGATCACTTTGCTTTGAATGTCTGTGTTGGTGTCCATACGAGCGAAATATCTTAGGCTCTGATGTGAGTTGGATCTGTTGGCGACGCTTTTTGAACCGTTTGGCCACCACTTGCAATAACTTCTGGCGCTTCTCCTCATTGACGGACTCGTCCTCTTTATCCTCACTGTCCTCCGACACATCCATACTGTCCTTCTCGAGTGTCTCCTCTTTAGTGTCCACTTTGACAATGCCTTTCGAGATGGGAATCACATTCTCTTTGCACTCTTCGTTCAAACGCTTGAATCTCTGCGAAAGTGTTTTAGTTGTGTAAACCCTATCGATCGCTATCGAAGAAGTGTGATGTCAAAAAATGTAAGTTTAAGACATGGTCTAACTGATGAAAAATACAACTTTGTACTGGTTTAAATTATTAGCAAATTCAATGGAAATGCCTTTTTATATAAATTTCCCACAAATGGATTCATCGAAGTCATCGAGTCGTCTATTCGTGATTGTGATGGCAATGTTTGGCTCATTCTTCGTGGGAGGGGTCAGTGTAGCGGTTGTGCTGTATTTGGTGATCAAAAGACGTCGAAAACTGGACAATAGGCCCAACATATCCATAATGATCAATGAAACCGATGATATGGACTACGAGAGGCCGGACTACTCATCACTTCGTGTCAGTCAATGCAGTAATGAATGTATGAATCCTCTGTACGAAGACTTTGAAAAGTATGACAATTCACTCAATAAGGCATTAGAGGAGCCAAACATCAAATTAGATAAAAACCAATTGGACTAAAATGTCCAAAGTTATGTCATCAATGTAAATTCTGACATAATATGTAAATATTGTAAATTAAAATACAGTACTTTTTACAATGAATACAAATTTTAAAAATAATTATTTGGTATTTATTAAGTTATTTAATCGATAAATAAATTATAAAAATATTACAAAGAATTTAAGTTTTGAATCAAAGTCCCGACAAATTCAGGACTTTCTTGACTATGATTTATAAAGTTTGAGTCGTTGTGTAAAAATTGCACCAAATTCTCGACCGTATGCTTAATGTTATCATCGCTTCTGATGTTTGCATTAAAATAATTAACAATTAGTTTATTAATAGAAACGCAAAACTTTTCAAACCAATTGTCTCTTATATTGATGGGAACTAATGACAAATTTTGAATCATAAAATTAGTGATTAAAACCCATAAACTACTCAATTGTTTGTCATTAAAATGATCGCTATTTACGGAACAAATAGCAGAGACAGCGTATGACTGGACCTTATGGTTGCGTGAAGTTTGCATTAAATTCAATAGTGTATCACAAATACAATCAATTAACTGATAGTTACTATCAATACTTCGATCACCACTTAAATCGGTGTTAATTTGAGGCAAATGTGTAGTGCATTCACATAAATGCAAAAACAATTGCAATTCTAACAAATAGCTGAAAGCAATACATATATTCCACTGGAGTTTAAAATTCTTGCTCCCATTCAATGTGTGAATCAATTTGTGAATCAATTCATTGAAAAGTTTACAAAATCTAGTGTTAGTCTCGAGTGATGTACGACTTTGTTGTCGATTTAGTATTACATATAAAGCACTTCCGGAAGAGCGCACAAAATTAGTCTTAATATTCTCCGATTGCATGGTATTAGTGAACTGTAAGTCAAAACAGTTTACATTAGACTCAATCAGACGCAGCATAAACTCAATGGTAATCTCATTAGTGTTGTGTAAATAAAACTTCTTTAAAATATCACAAAAGTTGGCTAAAGTCCACGAACTCTGATATAATAACAAATGAGACAACTTTTTCGCGTAATACAGGTCTCGAAAACTTTCTAAAATCTCTATCGAAAGCATTGAGACATCAAATAAATAGTTTATGTCTTCAGTCATCGATTTAAACAACTGATAGACACCTAAACAACGAATGGCTGCCGATTGTGAGTTCAAGTCTTCGGCAGTTGTGTCCACATTTCGCACAATCGATATCAATATAGCAATCAAATGAAACTTCAATTTTTCATCAAATAATTCAAAAACTTCGGGACTAATGGTTGAAATTAAGTCAATGATTACACATTGAGTTGATTGTGGTATCGCTGGATCCACACCATTGAGGCCTAAGTCTATTAGTTTTGACTTCAACACAGATGTCCACCAACTTCTCTGGTTCTGAGTATCGGAAGCACCGGTTCTCTTGAGATTAGTTCCCAAAACAAACAGAAATTTACAGAAAAGACTTTGATTGACGAGATTTGTTATAAAGATATTCATCTCAAGACATTCGAGCGACAGACTCATGAGTAGATCGAGACTTAAGTTCACTTCTTTGCGACTGAGAAGTGAATCAATAATCGGTTTTTGCTTCAATATAGTTGTTAAAAGTCTTAAGGATTCGCCACAAAGTAGTATTGACTGCGAACTCAATATTGAATCGCAAGAAAATCTAATTATTTTATTAATCGCTTTAATGCCATCATTTGTCTCAATCCACGCCTTCATCTCATCGGGAAAGGGATCCAATTCGAAGACCTTCACCGCCAACGCCAGACACGAGTTCTGTATTTGAATGTCTTTATGCGTCAATAGAGGCAATGATTTGTCACACAAACTGACTAATAATCCAGTCTTAAGTTTCTTGTAGGGACTGATAGTCACCAAAAGTGATAGACATTTGAACGCCTGAACCAAAACAATTGAATTCGTTTCCGTAAAGAGTATTGAATTCATTCCGTTGTGGACTTCGGCCACAATCTGTGCCAATGATTGAGACAATGTTGTGAACGATAATTGTTTGGATTTACTGGACGTCTCGTCGGCCAAAGTCATGACATATGGATTGCCAGTCGTTAGGAGTTTGTGTAGGAAATTAAGCGCTGATAACCGCACTTTGAATGATGTCTCGCGTGTTATGAACCAAAGCAGTGACCCGGGAGTCGATGTCTGCAGAAATGACGACCAAAAGCCAAATATCACTCTTTTGTCGAACAGATTGACAGCCGTTGAGAGGCTTTCGTAAGATATGAGCCGTATTTTGGTGGCAATTGATCTCTGGATCCGTAAGCCATCAAAGGCTTGGATGGAGTCGTAATCAGAGGACGAGAACTCCGAGTCAGATGTCATGACTTTGACATTAGAGGACTCTTTGCGAAGAGTCACGCAATCGCTATCGTCGTCCAAGTCTTCATTTTTAATGACATTCTTATTCTTCTTCTTATGTCTGTTCTTCTTATTCACGGAACCACTCCTTTCATTGGATCCGTTGTCCATCAGATCTTAATCGAGATAAACACAAGACTTATAGCAAAGAACTCAAGTGACAAACAAGTGAAGAGTTATACCATTAAACTGAGCGAAAGGTGAGGGAAAAAGGGCTGAACTCTTGACTTTCGACACATCATAACCGGGTATACCATAGAAGGAGAAGCACTTGAGTTGACCCAAGAGTTGGCCACAGAATTGGTTCAAATCGAGTGACAATACATTAAACTTGAAATTATTGATTAATATATAAATACAACGAATTGTGTTAAGGATTAAGTGATTCAAAGCAATCACTGAATGGTTGTTCACATCCACACCAGACAATCGCTCTCTAATGGCGTCCAAACTCTTCAGCAGTTTATCAGTGATCCTAACAATGGATTCGTTGCTATAGTTATGGCAATCGCTGTCTTTCAGAAGACATTTAACGCTTTTCATCAAAAGGTTTTGTCCGTTGAGTCCATCGGTGGACAAGAGCTGTGAATCACATGCGATGAACACTTGGGATGTGAGGAGTCGGTCGACGGATCCGATCAAACAGTGACTTCTTTGCGGCGATGGATGTCTGCGATTGTAGTCCAAAGTGATCATCAATTGGTGTAATATGTGTTCAAACAGCTGTCCATTGGTGGTCACATCGATGGTCACCACTCTGTCCACAATCGTCTCAATCAGTGTCTTATAGTTGAGACGAATGTACTCCTCATCGGATGTGTTGGCCTTCAATTGTCTCAACCATTGATCCAACTCTTCATCGTATGTCTTATCCATTGGGCTTTCAATGAGTTTATAAACAAAAGTTGGTTTCAATTGTCAAAACACTTCTCAAATATAATTGAATGCATTTGAGTGTCAATTATAAGGTTTTTATTGCCTTAAAGCGTGTCTTAATTAGCAGTAAATGTGATTGAAAACTAAATTCAATTAATTGTAATTCAAATTGAAAACAGATTTTCAAAGCGATTATTAATAGTGTTATAAATAGTGTTATCAATAGTGTTGACAGCATTGACACAACACAGGGATTGTATAGACATTGCATTCAATGCTATTTCAACTCATGTCTCAACGAATGCCACAATTCTGGTGAACACATCGCGAGATTAGACTAATTCTGTGATTATATCATATAATATGTCATATAATTTGTGTATTTATTGTATTTCAAGTGATTATAAAATATGTTTCATGGCCTATACGTACTGTAATACAAATTGGAGTTAACCTTTACTTGTTTTTATGTGCGAATAAAAAGTAAAACTAATCGTAAAAAGTTTTTAAATACTTAATCGGAATGTTGGCGGTGCTCATAAAATGAATACCGGTGCTCATAAAATGAATACCGGTGCTCATAAAATGAATACCGGTGCTCATAAAATGAATACCGGTGCTCATAAAATGAATACCGGTGCTCATAAAATGAATACCGGTGCTCATAAAATGAATACCGGTGCTCATAAAATGAATACNGTAAAAAGTTTTTAAATACTTAATCGGAATGTTGGCGGTGCTCATAAAATGAATACCGGTGCTCATAAAATGAATACCGGTGCTCATAAAATGAATACCGGTGCTCATAAAATGAATACCGGTGCTCATAAAATGAATACCGGTGCTCATAAAATGAATACCGGCGCTCCCGTCCAAAAACTTTAAATAATTAAATATTGGATCCGGAAAAAAGTAATCGCAATGCCCATGCTTCAGTAATAATTTGATTATTTCTTAACTAGAAGATTTACTTTTAATCCATTTAAACCCCAACTATGGTTTTAAGTCTTACATGTGCTCCCGAAGAGACAGGTTGATTCAAGCACCGGTAGCTCGGCACAGGTAGTTTATTTAAAATATTCTATATCTTACAAACTACAATTCACATCTTGGCAAACGATAGCTCATTTGAAAGAGCTGAAAAAAGTAGGAGATACATCAAAAATTATTTTATCAAAAACTCAATAATTATTGGCCTGGGAGGCCCGTTATGTCTAAAAATCAAACTTTTAACAATTTATATCATCAACAAGAATAGGAATTTAAAAAAGTTATGATATGGAAAATGTAGATAATTTAATTCTCTATCAATATAAAATATAAAAATATTTTATTCAATCAGAGCACCGGGAGGAAAGGTAGGCATTTTCTTGTGACTATACTAGAAGTTATTGTATGAATCTAATTAGTTCACTGAATAGAACTCAAAAAATGAACAAGGTTAACATTTAACACTTTAACATTTAACATTAAACTTTTCAAATATCTATTAAAATAACTGTCCTAGGGCAGGTTAAAGTTTGCATTTTTAAATTGAATATTGCCATTCAATTTAAAAATGCAAACTTTAACCTGCCCTAGGACAGTTATTTTAATAAAATATTTTATTCAATCAGAGCACCGGGAGGAAAGGTAGGCATTTTCTTGTGACTATACTAGAAGTTATTGTATGAATCTAATTAGTTCACTGAATAGAACTCAAAAAATGAACAAGGTTAACATTTTAAACTTTTCAAATATCTATTAAAATAACTGTCCTAGGGCAGGTTAAAGTTTGCATTTTTAAATTGAATATTGCCATTCAATTTAAAAATGCAAACTTTAACCTGCCCTAGGACAGTTATTTTAATAGATATCTGAAAAGTTTAAAATGTTAACCTTGTTCATTTTTTGAGTTCTATTCAGTGAAATGAGTAAAATGAGTGCACAGTTGCTTGGTGAAATATAAATGAAATTATTATTAAATTCTGCTTTATGATTGAAATTCTTAGAAAATATGTGTTTAATAGAAGTTTCAAATTAAATTAGATATTTGTGTGGATTCTTGGAAACAATTGCATAGGATGCTTTATCTAATAATAAATAAATGAAAAAACTAATGGACATACATTGCCCGTCAAATAAGCCTCAAATGATTTAATATTTGATTGTGTAATTCACGCCTTATTTATAAATTACATATAAAACATTTTAGCAGTTATTCAAAAACACTTAAACGGTTTAATCACTAATCTAGTATTTGTTGATATATGAAAGCCTTACAGTAATAAATAAAATGCACAAATCATTCAAATGAATGAACAGACAAACTATCAATAGATTCATTAACGACAGACAGAAAGCCTACATTTAATTTGATCCCAAAAACATTAAAACTAATGAAATTCAATTCAAGAAAACAGCTTATGTTTACAGAATTGATGTGAATATTGAGTATTATATGGCACTTGAGAATCGGAAAATCTTTCAAACTTAAGATTAAGTAAGAATATACTTGAATATAAATGTAAATTCATATTATATTTAGTGTAATACTTTAATTGAAAAACAAGATGCTTATATAAAATCAATTATATATTCCAAGTAAACATTAATTTAATATATCAATATTTATTAAGTAAGAAATATGATATTTAAATGCACATAATATGTGGATTTGCACAAAAAACATTAAAATGTCCAGGTAAATGTCTACAATAATTCCCATTTTCTGTATTTATGCTATTTTTACTGACGAATTAAGGCATTCAGTTTCAAAGAATTTGAATTTGTTTTAAAAATAATATGTTTAAAATGATTAAAATTCCATAGAAATAATAAAAAGTAAACCCTGTCATTTTACAGTACACTTACTTTGTTAGATAAAATGAAATTCTTTAAAAATATTATACTGTATACTGTAGAATTTAAATTATTAATTCTAAAAATAATTTTAAAATCCCAGAACTTTAATATTATTATCTACAATGAATTGTACTGTACATATAAATGAATACATTTGTCATTGTTTTATTTTTGTTCAATTGTCTTACGAATGAATTAGTCTGTAAACATGTATTTTTAGTAATGAATTTATTATTCATTAAAGTAGAGTTATTATTCATTAGAGAATATTATAATTCTTATAAACTAGTGGTAATGAGCACCAATATTAGCTACTTTAGATAATTAGACATATCATGTATAATTGAAATTATATATGAAATACAAAGTTATTATTGAAAATGAATGCTGTTACACTTACAGTAGTACTACTGAATATACATTGTAATATCAGTTAAAATATAGTGTTTTTACATTGAAACTGTTAGTACTATACCATTTCATATAAAACTGCCCAGGGATAAATTTATAATTGAGAAAGAAAAGCACTAAATTGTTGTGAGCTATAAATTTGGCTTTTGTGTAGTCAATCATTTGTAATTGAAAAGTAATTATTGAAGTTTGAATTATGATCTAAATTGATCAGGCAACAAGAATCAAGTTAATGATATATTCTTGATTTTAAATCATATATAAAGTGCATTTTAAGTTTTAGAATAATTCTTAAATATTAGTTATTGAATATTTTTGTTTTATTAAAGTATTAGCAATACAATAATTTAATATGAATATACATTATATGAAATTGAATTACGGTATAAGGTATTATAAGTGAAGTTATTTTGAGATAAATACAGTAAATCGATAATTTGAATGGCTATGCGCACAGGTATTCTTTGAAACGATATATAAAGTAGTTATCTATACAGTATACTGATAGGCACAGGGATGCTGTGATGAAAATCAGTAAAGATGAAGCTACTAAAAGTGAATCACTTTTCGTGTATTAAGAACACATTGATTGTATTTCTCACAATTAAATCAGTGTTCAGTTTTCTACTATTTATCACTGGCTTCACAGTTATGAGTAATTCACGCAAATTACCCCTTCATAAGGGGATAGTGTTTGCTTATAACAGTAAATATACTGCCGATGAAGAGATTAATCCAGGTTTGTTTATATTTGTTTGTTCACACTTTTGCATTATAAAATTGATAAACTACATTACTTATTTATTCAAATATTTTAATATATAAATTTAAATACAATATATATACATACATATATATATATATAATAGTAAATATAGTATATATGAAATGAAATTGTTTTCAGAGGACACAATTTTGGCCAAATTATCACTGGTGGACATGAATACCACTAATGTTAACAACAAGATAATTGGTTACGAGTGTATGATAAGAGGGGCCAGTTTGTTCGTATTATACCAGTTCGGTGTGTATGGCGTTCAAGTGAAGGGGGTGGCCTACTTGAGTGTACTGGTGGTGCTGTTGATGGGCTGGGAAGTGGTCAGCTACTTATTCCTCGAGATCTACATTGTATTCTTGATCGCAGATATCATACTCATAGTCCTTATCATGGATTTGATAGTATTGGTGGTCTTACGCGTGAAACCCACAGTCGGTGCCAATGAAGAGGTTGACGACACTTCAGATACGGATCCTTTGGATCTCACGGATAAGTCCTATGACTTAACTGTCATTTAAATGTGATTTTTATACAAACGACAAATCAATATACAGTACTGTATGTGCCAAAAGTATATCGACCAAAATGTTTTCATGCTATACTTATTTTTAAATATACAAATTATTACAAATATTTTATTACATTAAAAATTATTTGTCTATTTTTCCTATTAAAGTATAATAAGCATATTATGATTTTGTTGTATCAAATATATGAAATATTTTTAATGTTATGGAGACAAAATATGAAATAATATAATATTTTTAAAATTATTTTCTATATCTCGATGAAAAATATTATGTGTGGTGTAAATATACAATATGTCCTATAATTTTCTATATACTAAAACTTTTATAATAAATTTATATTTGTTTTAGTAAAATCCGAATAATTATGACACAATAATTTAATATTTTATATTAAATACATTATAGAAAGCCCAAGTGAATAAGTTTTTAAAACTATTTTATTTATTAATGTATATTTATAATAAATGTTAAAATAAATTATAAAAATATTCTATCTACTTAAATACTATATAACTTCAAGTATAATAAACCATATATTTTAATTTTACGGATGTATAATTTATTTATTAATACAGAGCAATCACGTGAAGAGTTACCAGGGGGAATGGGGGTGGAGGGCAGTACTGCAGTAAACATACACTGAAATAGTGACCCCCGTTATAGGTATCGTCTTATTAGTAGACGTTGCCATTAAAGAGACAAAATATGAAATAATATAATATTTTAAAAATTATTTTCTATATCTCGATGAAAAATATTATAATGTGTGGTGTAAATATACAATATGTCCTATAATTTTCTATATACTAAAACTTTTATAATAAATTTTTATTTGTTTTAGTAAAATCCAAATAATTATGATACATTAATTTAATATTTTGTATTAAATACATTATAGAAAGCCCAAGTAAATAAGTTTTAAAAACTATTTTGTTTATTAATGTATATTTATATTAAATGTTAAAATAAATTATAAAAATATTCTATAACTTTAAGTACAGTATAATAAACCATATATTTCAATTTTACGGATGTATAATTTATTTATTAATATATAAGTTTTCAATAAAACTACAGTATTATAATATAAAGCTATTATAATTTATATATTTATTTTTTATTTGTATTTTATATTAATGTTATAATAATAAATTTTAGTGTAATATAATTGATTTTATTTCATAATTTCAAGCATAAATCATAAAGTTGACTAAATTTTGATTTTATTATTTAATATTATAATAAAATTATAATTAAATATACAAATATTTGTTGATCTTTAATATTTTTAACGATATAAAGAGTAAGCCGGTTGTACAAATTGGTACAGGTTATTAATGTGTATTAATGAACTTAAACTAATATTATAACTATATTGACTATTGGGGATAAAAGTTAAGCATAAAAGTTAGTAGGACTACTTTATACTGTACCATAAATACTTTCTAATTTAAGTAAGTAACTTAATATAGTTATTCTCGATAGATATACACAATTTCAGGTAATTTTTCCAATTATAGAATTACAGTACATTAATATATGTTATACTATAGAACTTATAGCAATATTTATTTTTAAGAAATATTTTATAAGATCAGAGAATATATCATATTTTATATAACTATATTAAGTTACTTACTTAAATTAGAAAGTATTTATGGTACAGTATAAAGTAGTCCTACTAACTTTTATGCTTAACTTTTATCCCCAATAGTCAATATAATTATAATATTAGTTTAAGTTCATTAATACACATTAATAACCTGTACCAATTTGTACAACCGGCTTACTCTTTATATCGTAAAAATATTAAAGATCAACAAATATTTGTATATTTAATTATAATTTTATTATAATATTAAATAATAAAATCAAAATTTAGTCAACTTTATGATTTATGCTTGAAATTATGAAATAAAATCAATTATATTACACTAAAATTTATTATTATAACATTAATATAAAATACAAATAAAAAATAAATATATAAATTATAATAGCTTTATATTATAATACTGTAGTTTTATTGAAAACTTATATATTAATAAATAAATTATACATCCGTAAAATTGAAATATATGGTTTATTATACTGTACTTAAAGTTATAGAATATTTTTATAATTTATTTTAACATTTAATATAAATATACATTAATAAACAAAATAGTTTTTAAAACTTATTTACTTGGGCTTTCTATAATGTATTTAATACAAAATATTAAATTAATGTATCATAATTATTTGGATTTTACTAAAACAAATAAAAATTTATTATAAAAGTTTTAGTATATAGAAAATTATAGGACATATTGTATATTTACACCACACATTATAATATTTTTCATCGAGATATAGAAAATAATTTTTAAAATATTATATTATTTCATATTTTGTCTC